CCCCCAATATTAAACTTGATCTGATAATGGCATACAACAAACACAAGACAGAATTTGGAAAGGGAAATGGAAAGAACATGACACATACCTGGCTTGGGAGGACAGTCTTCAAAGACCTTTTGCTGCTGCTCTACCGTCGCCATTTCCCAGGGGACGCAGCCAGAAGTGGTGCCAGCCCACACGCATCTGACGCCGGGACCTGCTCGCAAGCAGGCCGTTTCGTTGTCAAAAGCTTCACATCTCTCGGGCGTGTACTTCAGTATGTCACTCAGGAGGAGGCTGTTGAAGCCTCCAAATACATACATGGTGCTAGACAAAATGTAAGTAAAGAGATAAATATTTGTGCCTGTGTTTATCGACCATGCACTGCTGCAAGTCAATGGGATTCAAGGTGCGAGCGAGGTGTTTTATTACATTCCAGCATGTATAAATGCAAATAAATAGCTCTTGGTTAAGGAAGGCACTAAAGAAAAGGTCAGTCAAGTTCCACTGTTTCAGAGAAGCCAGCGAATCTCAACACGTGGGTGTTGAGACAGTCAAACCATTCCGAGGTCATGGACCGACCCTCCCCTTCAGCCAAACTCTGGGTGACAGCTGATCATGAAATGCTGCAGAAATGCAGGATCCTCCTGTAAAGAACAGCGTCAAGAGAGGGAGGAAGGCTAAAAATTGGGGACACGGATTCACACCATTAAACCAGAGTTCAGAAACTGTGACAAAACAATTCAGTGTTGTCATATCTTGCTACACCGCTGTGACAAAACCACAGTTATTTTCATGGCTGTTAGCAACTGAGCAAAGAGTCATTGAGTCAACTGAAAGAAAAAAAACCAAAAAACCCCCAAACCCCAAACAAAATAATATTAGGGGGGTGGAAAGGAAGGTGTTTTTTTAAACCTTCTTTAGTATCACAACTGCTTCGGGAAAAACATCACACGTCATTAGTTACACAAAAATGTCACCCAGAAAACCCTGTGCATCCATGTTTGTAAATGGACATTTGAAGAGACAGTGAAGAAGAGTTAATGCAACTGAATAAAAGTTTTGCTTGAGTAATCAGTATTTTTAATATGATTTGCATCCTATTTCAGGGAAGAACTAAAGCATAGGCTTAACTGCCCTTCATGGGAGCAAACACACAGCTGGTATTGAGTATACGCTGAAACAAAGAGATAGTGAGTGAGATTTGAGAGACAAAAAAAATGTATCTAGAAGCACACCTTCCTTTTAAAGGCAGTGACAGTGATCTGCCTGGCTTAAACTGAGCTTTAAATAATGTTACTGATTTACAGAAAGTATCCACCAAGGATAAAGGAACGAAAGACTCCTAAGAAATATCATTTCTCAAACTTGGTTCTGCAGACTCAAATACAGTAACAGATGTTCACCTGAAAGCACGGGTGTTATTACTGTGGTGTAATGCTTAACAGCAGAAATCTCACCTATGATTTCACCTAAATACTGTACATCACGCGAATGGTAAAGAGCAGCCACACAGGCTAAGCTATGTAAACTGAAACATGGACAAATTTAGAAACCACGAGGGAGAGTACGATTTGGAGATGAAAGCTGTCAGTGCAGCTAAATAAGAAATAGAAATATGAAAAAAATGAAATTACAAAACTATGAAATAAATAAGAAATAGAAATATATATAAAGATAAGAAAAAGGAACAGAAATATGAAAAAAAAAAAAAAAAAGAAATTTTTCAAAGAACTAAGTGAGCTGAGACAGTTTAGTCCAGTGAAGAAGAAGGGCTGATAAGGACAGGCGGATACTGAAGCATTACAAGAGTGAAGATCTGAGAACTTTGAGAGGTTCGCAATGGATCCTCAGCCCTCTGGTCTCAGTGTTACTGATTTACATGCATACATTTATTGAGGTATGGAAAACGCCAACTCCCCCCAGCTTGTCTGTAACCTTACCTGTTGTACAGCACGGCAGAATGTCCAAACCTGTTCACATCGTGATGGAGACCCGGGCGAGGAAGAACAGACCACCGATCACAAGCTAGGATTAAGGAAAGCTCATTTCAGAAGAGTTCCTCAGTATCATTAATGATTCAACTTAAGTAGCCCACTTCTTCCAGAAGATCCCGACATACTTTAAAAACTATAGAGACCATTCTGCCCACCACCAAAACGCAAATCTGAAATGAAAGAGGGCAGTTCACGAAAGCGCTGCGTTATCTTCTTCTGCAAGATTTCAAGACTTAGTCTTCACCCCAGCTGCCATGGTACCACAAAAAGGGAAAGGAAGGAGGTAATGGCTCTGCTCCATCGTCTAAACAGTTCATGAAAAAGGAAAGTTTCAGGGCATCATGTTGAAGGGGTTATTAGCTTTTTGGCAATCACGTGTAATTAAATGGCGCTGCCTTGAGTTGCTTTTCCTCCTTTACCAGTGGAATTTTTCACTGCATAACAAGCTCAGTTTTTATCTGTTTATACGCGAATTATTTGCTGTTTTGCCCCAAACCAGTATCACTGAGAACAGAGCTTATCTTCCCCCTGCCCCATTGCAATTATGTTCCTAGAGGGTAGATATCCATGTTTTTAAAAATATTTTTCACTCATCATAGCTTAAGGATTTGTGGTTGTTTTTCTCTTTTAATATAACGTGAGTTTATTCCATCTTTTTCTATTAGCATAACATTTATAAGTTCTGCTTCATTTTTTACTCGGTTTCTCAGGTAATTTCTTCCTTTAAGCAGCATGAAAAAAACAACCTAAAAAACATATAACCCACTGAACAGTCAAAGGAACAAAAGCAGGAAAAGTCACTCCAATTCATATCACTTGAACTTCGCAAAGTGAACGGGATCACCTTGGGGGCTAACGTCCCAGAGGCACCTACATGCAATTTATGCAATTAAGACAGAAAAGTCAATCTGCTGGGAAGATCTACAGAGCCCTCAAATACTCGCAGATTCTTTAATACAAGAGAGAACTGTTGTGCCACAGACTGAGTCTCTGGGGGGGAGGAAAGGAAAAAAAAAAAGGTCCACAAACCCAAACTAGTACGTAGATAAACTGAGAGGGCAAAGAAAACAACCTTACTAGATTTTTACCAAATTTAATTGGCGAATTGTTGGGTAAAACAACTGATCCTAACCTCTGCTCCCACAGAAACTTTTGTTCAAGAGTGCCGATAAATAAAAAACCACAGGACCCAGTTGGTTGGATTTAATACTTCCATAAATCATTATTTTGAAGTTTATGTTTAGATGTAATTTGCTCGATTTTCAAAGAATTTAACCTAGCCCAGCATCACTCCTGAGACAAGCATGCATGGTTCCAATTTTTAACAGGAGACTTCAGCAAAATTGGACAGCAATTTGCAATTTTTTATCCAACAAGCTGTGAGTTATGTGAGGCCAAGAAACATATTTTTCTAGATTAATAGAAGGCCTGCAATGTTTTGCTTTCTAAGCTTCTTTCCCATCTTTAACTGAAGATCAAGTATTGGAAAAAATGAATGATTCTGAAAATACAAACAATCCTCTCCTTCCTGACTTATGAGTTAAGCCAAGCCTAAAACTTACAATGCACAGGATTTATTAAATATACTGTTCAACTAGAACATGTATTCTATGAAAACATCCAGCCTCTTTCTATGTTTGTCATCAGAACTGAATTTTTGATGGGGTAAATAGAAGAGTTTTAAATTCTCTCCTGTGGGGAGAAAACATAGAATCCTAGAATCATTTAGGTTGGAAAAGACCTTTAAGATCATCCAGTCCAACCATTAACCTAACATTACCAAGTCCACACTAAACCAATCAAGGGTAGACTAAACCACGTCCCCAAGTGCCACATCTGCCCGTTCTTTGAACGCTTGCAGGGATGGGGACTCCACCACCTCTCTGGGAAGCCTGGTCCAATGCTTGACCACTCTGTCCATGAAGAAATTTTTCCTAATATCCAACCTAAACCTCCCGTGGCACAACTTGAGCCCATTTCCTCTTGTCCTATCCCTAACTACTTGGGAGAAGAGACCAACACCCACCTCACTACAACCTCCTGTCGGAGTTGTAGAGAGCGATCAGGTCTCCCCTCAGCCTCCTCTTCTCCAGGCTGAACACCCCCAGCTCCCTCAGCCGCTCCCCACCAGCCCCGTGCTCCAGACCCTGCCCCAGCTCCGTTGCCCTTCTCTGGACACGCTCCAGCACCCCAATGTCCTTCTTGTACTGAGGGGCCCAAAACTGGACACAGTATTCACGGTGTGGCCTCATATCATTATATGAGTACAGCCTTTACATTAATATTTCATGCTGACTTTTAAAAAAAAAAAACCCATAAAGTTGAAACTTATTTAAAAATGAAAAAGAATGGTTACTTAACCCACAGTAACTGCACTTTGAGACAATCTGCCTGTGAAGTTTCTATTCTTTTTAGACACATCCCATACGTGAGGGACACGACCCTTCGGAAAGCTCCACCCTCGCCTTCTCACTGCTGGAGATGAGCATGGCTCCTTTGCTGCTATGAACTGTTGAGAGGAGGAGGTAGAGGATTCAGGTGAGGCATTTGTCCACCCAGAGACTAAACTGCTGCAGAGCAGGAAACGCTTCTACAGAGGCCAGAGAGACCAACTGTGGGGATAGGAAGTGCTAACTAGTCATTGCAGTGTGCAGACATAGGAAAATACTGTCAGACTGCTCTACCCAAGTGCTCACCCAACCTGAACACCAACACAGTCCAAAAGCTTGTCCTAAGAAGCAACAAGAAATGCACGTGCACATGGACAGCTGGATTGCTATGCTGAAACCTTCCAAAACTGAGTATTATCTGGACAATTCAGATCGAGTAAGTCCCAACCTGGTCAAGTGGAGGGTAAAATGTGAAGCATTAATGCATTCTGAGATCTACCTAATCTGCTAAACCTCCAGAGAATCTCAGCACACATCTCAGTGACATGTTTGCATCCTACAGACATAAAAAAGAAGACAGTAGGTCCTCACAAGACTCAATGCATGTGGTCTGATTACTTAGAAATTTGAGGAGAGAAAAACCAGAAAAATTTGATGAGGTAAATAAAATGAATTACTGCAGAAATAAGTTTTAATGGCAAAGGTCAAAGAGAAGACCTGTTTTTTGAAGCCTTTATTTTAGACTGCATTTTAATTTCAGTTTTCTCCAGTCTTCCAACCGTCACTATGATCACTAAGATATTACCTTCATCAACAAGATGTTAAAAATGAGCAAATTAGCCAGATAGCATACTATAAAATTAGGCAGTAACACAGCCAATTACTAAGCCTCTCCTCTGAAGGCACTCAGTATCAATTGACCTTGCTACTTGGTTTTCTCCTGGGTAGCTTGAGCCTTGGGAGCATCAAGGGATAGATAACAAACGCATAAGCGTGTTAATATTAAAGCTGCGATAGCCATATCCATCTGTGGTGGCACGGCCACAGCGGTCTTTGATATTTACAGTGCTTCCCCACAGAATATGGGCTTATTCCCATGGAGACCAACATGAACCTGATCAATATAATTCCTGCAGAGATCATGCATGAAGAACCACCAAGTAGGTGTTTCTGCTGTGACACTAACGATCAGCCAGCACCCTAACGTATTCCTGGAGTGCTCCTGGTCCAATGAGATAAGTCGAATCATGCCAAGAAAGGTGCCCTGCCACAAAAAGAAAGGCAAAAATGGTCTATTTTTTCTCTGAAAAAAAAAAAGCTGTTCTTTCCAGCCTGAAGGTCTCTGCCCTACAGAATGAGGGTACCCAAGAGCACCAGAACACCTCTCGTCCCTGTCGTGTGAAGCGCAATCAATGCAAGCTCTAATTCTCAGTGTAAAAATGGTAAGGACTGGGCAAGTTGACTACAACACTTATTCCATGTGACAGGAACCTACCTGTTTTCTAAACCGAATCAAAATGAACATCATTATTGGCATATTTTGTCAAATTAATGCAATTTGTGTTTTACACCTAACAGACAGTTCAATGGGTCAGGGAAAATAGCAAAATGTAGCAAGAAAAATCTATCACTATTGCTGTCAAAGTTTAAAAAAAAAAAAAAATTAGTCTGTCCATGACTGTCAAAATACTTCAATTCTTCAAGAAAAAAATCAAAATAAAGCTAGTTAGGAGCACACACTAAATTCCACAGGGCTATGACTTGAAATCACAGGAAGCAGAAGGGAATGATCCCTGTAACAGACAGCCAAAATGGCACGAGGATGCCAAACCCTGCTGCTGAAAGTAATCCATTTGCTTGTATATTCCTTCCACAAACCTGGAGTGACAGCTCAGTGGACAGTCACTCCAAGAATTCACATTTACGTTATTATGTCAGGGAAGCAATCATGAGAGCCCACATTTAAGGAATTCTGAGAGCAGCAGGTAGAATGCGATATGAGTACAGAACGGTGTTTTTCTTCAGCATGAGTTATCGGGGTGTGCATGCACCTTCTTTTATATAATCTCTTCTTCTTTTCTTAAACGCATCGGCTCCGGACTTCAAATTCCCAAATAAATGCTGCCCTCTTCTGGCTGTTCCACCTCATGAAAACCCAATCCTTCCCAATAAAATCTAATCATTTGGCTTTACTGTTAAATAGTGCTTACGGGGATATTTATGCTTATCAAGCGTACGTATAAACAAACTGACATTACAAACGGCACAGCCAAACAAGTCAGCCAGCCTGCAGTTAGAACAAGAGCGTACAACGTACAAGTTGAGCTTCAGCAGTGTCCAGTGCTCGTAACTGTCCTAACAGCCTGCATTTTTGATAAATCATAGATTAAAACACACTCAATATATCAGGATAGCTTCATGGCTGAGATGGTAGAACAATATGCTTTCCGTTTAAGAAATACTTTTTAATGCCCAAGTTTGTGTATAAACTGTTGACCAAATAACTGCTGCTGTATTTGCCCAGAAATCACTGCACCAGCTCATTTGCTTGATAACGTGTAGCAAGCTAAATGAGCCTCTCCTGATTACACATTCTTCTGCAGTATGCTTAGTAGCATTTGGTGTAATATACCCGGCATGTAAATTAGTCTTCTGGAAGACAGCTCTTTTTGAATATCCAAGAATTTTTTTTTAATGATTATTTCTGCAAGAACTTACCAATATCATACGCCATAAAATCTGACGAAAAGCACTTCGCGCCGTGGCTCATGGAAGTGTCATTGTGCGTGTTTCCTCCAAAGACCAGCATGGTTCCACTCATTATCACAGCCGTGTGCAAATAGCGGAAAAATCTGCTGTCTTTAAGAATTGTCCTTCAGAAATAAAAAGATATGTATTAATGAAACTGATTAGTACCTGGCAAAGACAAAACAACTCATAAATCCAAGCTGAAGAAGATTTCAGGGGTGCAGGGAGGAGGGGAGGGGGGATATTATTTAACTACTTTTTCTAATTAGGTATTTAACAGCCTTCTTTCCACACTGTTCAGTTCCTCCTGTAATTTCATTCTCTCATCTTCCCATCTGCTTGACAATTTGTGGGAGAAATATATCTACGAAAGCCTCTTTCCAAAGCTATGGATCTTCAAATCATCAGTTCCTTCCCTAGGGATTATCCAGTTTTCACACTAACCACGCTTTTGAGCACAGTCAGCTAAACCTGCTGATATGGACACTGCTTGGGAGGGCTCCTGTGTTTTGTAGTAACTCTGATTTTATAGTAACCTAAACAATTCTTTCAAACTGGGCGTCATCTCTTGCTCAAACCTAACAAACCTATTTCAAGGAAACCTATGCAGCTGCTGCTAACGGAGCCCCACAGCTCAATACCTGCAAAACTCAGTGCCTCTCCATGACTAAATCACGGGAAGCATTAATTATCCTTACCACTGACCTCACCTTTAATCAGCATGATTAACAGCACTGCACACACAGGGTCACCCTTTGCAGACTTTCCCTAATATTTTGAGAGGGTGGGATTGCAGGAAAACCCCGACACGGCCACATCTTAGTGTTGCAGGCAGCGGGGTCGCAGTTTGCAGGCTGTCGCCCCAGTTCTGCGGAACAGCAGCATCCCAAACGCAGCTTGCGCTGAAGCCCAGACTTTCACAACGCAATATTCAGCAAACGGTGAATAAATAATAAATAAAGACCAGGGGACTGCTTTTTACCCTTCCATGAAATCACAAGAGGGAGAGAGGACCAAAGAACAACAACAACAACAACAAAAAAAAAGAGTCAGTGGCACCAAAAAAAAAAGTATAGATGAAGATGAGCAGACACTCCTACATGCCTCACTGCAAGGCAACTGCTCGCCTGCTCCGAAAGTTCTCTCAAGAAAATAAATGAGACAAGAGGAAGTTGGTGCTGCAGAAGTTCAGAAGAATATTGTCACATTTGTGACAGTTTCTGCCTATTCAGCCAGATTTGCCTGCTCCACTGCTGAAGTGGAGCATCAAATGAACCAAGAGAGGAAGCATGGTTATTACCGCATGTACAACGGAGCAGGAAGGAAGGTTTTTGGCAATTAGTCACTGGTTACTTTACTCATCAGTATAGACTGACAAACAGTTGTTGCAGAAATACAAGCTATTTTAAACTGAAAAAAGGGGATATGGTGACTCCAAATGGATGTGTTAATTCAAGAGAGAGTCTCCTTTTTGTCAGGAGCCATTAAAAACAACTTTAAGAAAAACACAAAATTGAGGAATATTTATTTCACCTCTATAGCTCGAAGTTGTGAAGTTTTGCTATAGCTTTTAAATAAAACTCACCTTTGGGCAGAAACAAATCACACATTTCAGCTTAAGAAATTAACGTTTCAAGCAGTTACAGAGCCAGAAGAAAATGGGGTTATAATAGAAATTCTTTTGCGGTCTTAACTGCAGAATGAATTATCACTCACTTGACTGCAGTAACTGCACTGATATGCACAGTCTGTACTGCTGGCAAGAAAATCCCATCAAATATTTTTCTTTTCAGCTTTAATGCAACAATAGATTAAAATGGATTTCTTGGCTCATTCACAGCCTTGATTATATGTGATTATACGATTCTCTATTCATAAAGGGACATAAAAATAACAGATACAAGAGCACAGTATCTATCCTGAATGCAGGTAACTACGTACCACTGTACCCTTGTCAAATACCCCATCCTTTTGTCCTCTACAAACAAAAATGATGGCGCGGTATACAAGAGCAAGAACTACTTACCACATACGGGAATCAACTTCATATTTGTACAAGTCGTCTGCTAGCCTGTATTTGTTGGCACTGAATGCTTTGTAACCTCCATGGATATAAATTGATCTTGTATTTGGATCATAAACACTACTGTGACCATACCCTCCTTGCACCAAAGCTCCGCTCGTCTGTAAAATGTTCCATGTATTTGTGGCTGGGAAATTAAAAACGTGAGTGACAGAACATGGTTAATTTATCTCCATTAGTAACTTATCAACAAATCTGGCGGTGAAACAAATTGGATTTCCCTTGACTCAGATCTAGACACTGCCTCTATCACTTCATATCCAAACTACTCTCCTTCAAGGAGTTTGTTGTCAAGAAGTATTGTCAAGTATTTTTAATTAGACCAGAAACATCTCTTCTACAGTCATTCATTACATTTTGCAGACAAGCTAAGTAAATGAGAGATAAAAAGTACAGAAATAATATACTGCATTTCAATGACATGAAAATGCCAGCACCATGCCTTGATTTGGAATGGCACCCAAGAGCACTTTTATTTTATATGTATATAAAGTCAGACAGCACTGAAGCCAAGTTAAGTATGACTGTGAAGAACACTGCAGTTAAAAACTAATCTGTGATTAATGGTCCTATATCTTACTCACTAAAATAACATTGGTTTGAAGCACTCTAGACATAATATAATGGCGACTGAAACAAAAATGCTAAATTACACACCAAATCTCTTTAGCAAGTGCAGAATGAAACCCTACACAGGCTTCCTAACTTCACGGCAGATCAGAGACACAAAAGGCAAAGGAATTGAATAGTCTGCAAGATCCCATGTGAAAAAAACAGCAGAAAAACAAATCATGCCCCACACATCCTGCTTTTCTCTAGCTTTCTCCTAGAGGAAGAAAGCTCGCTCATGTGGACACCAGCAAACCAGAGTAAATTCCAGCAGATCTTCTGGATCAGGATGACTGAAGGCCAAGGATAACAGGTCAAAAAGTGCAGACAAGGCCACTATTTCTGACAATAACCAGCACACTCATGTTGTGAACTTCCTGTGCTTACCCATGTTCTCCACCTGGTCAGTGGAGCAAGGGACATGCCATGCCTCCAGAGAACCATTTCAGAGCAGCTAAGTTAGGTACAAGTTCAGCTCATCTGGAGAGCTTCCTACACTTCTCCACTGGTGATACTGGAAATCTCTAGATCATAAAGTCAGAGTTTGGACTATTCCCAGAGATATGGGGTAAATGGAAGTCCAGAAAGTCATTCCCTGTTCCCCTAAGCATTTGATAATCACCACTACTGGAGGCATATGTATCAGGTTAAGTGGATACTTGGTCTGAATTGCTACAGCCATTCCTGTATTCACAGGATACAAAAAAATAATTTCAAAAGTGTTTGGTTTGCCAGAGGGAGAGAGGAAAATTAATTTAAATTGTCCCACAGTTATCCTGCTTTGTCCCACAATTACAGCTTTTTTGTCTTTGGGACCTAATAAGCTGTATGAAGCTGGAGGCACATGTTTGTGCCTGCTCACTGTTTGTGTCCCACAAACACGGGAAGTTAGACTGAACTTCTCATAAATACAAAAAGAAGGAGAATAATGTATCTGTGTTTATTTTGCCATGTGAATATGGATCATTTAAATAATTTTCAAACCAAATGTTAAAATTGAAGCGAACAGTAGGTAGGGTCCCACTCACCTAGGTTGTATTCCTGGACATTGCTGATATACCCGTAAAGAGGGCAGTGCCCAAAGATGACAAGCATGACCGCACTGCCGTCTTGCAGGGTGACGATGTGTGCCGAGTGGCCAACAACAGCATACTGCTCCTTGGCTTTCGGTGTTGCTTGAGCCCAGGTCTGGGTGGGAATGTGGAACACCCACAGCTGGCTGGTCACGTTCCCCGTCGCATCTATTTTTCCACCATACATGTATATATAATCCTGGAAGAATTTAGATTTAAAATGAGGCCAACGAGTTTGGCATTTAGGAAACAGCTAATATGTAAGTAATGAAGTTGTTACATCTTCTCTCAGCCTAAATTCTTCTCCTCTCTCAAGAAGAAACATACCTCCTTCACCAGTCACATCTGATATGAAAGCAAGGGTTTGTACCTAAGTCTGTAACGTCAGAATACAATCATAGAACAGAATCATAGAATCATCGAATCATTTAGGTTGGAAAAGACTTTGAAGATATATCCAGTCCAACCATTAACCTAACAGGGTAGATGTGGCACTTTGGGACATGGTTTAGTCTAGTCTACCCTTGATTGGTTTAGTGTGGACTTGGTAGTGTAGGTTAATGGTTGGGCTGGATGATCTTAAAGGTCTTTTCCAACCTAAACGATTCTATGATTCTATGATTCTAACACTACCAACTCCACCACTAAACCAGTTAAGGGGAGAGTAGCAATTTCGTGTTTCCTGGCTTGGTGGCTGGATTATTTTTTAATGAAAGTAAAAACTAGGAATTGTTAAGGTTGGAAAGGATCTCTAAAATCATCAGTCCAACCATCAACCCAACACCACCATGCCCACTAAACCATGTCCCAAAGTGCCACGTCTGCCCGTTTTTTGAACGCTTCCAGGGATGGTGACTCCACCACGTCCCTGGGCAGCCTGGTCCAATGCTTGACCACTCTGTCCATGAAGAAAGTTTTCCTAATATCCAATCTAAACCTCCCCTGGCGCAGCTTGAGCCCATTTCCTCTTGTCCTATCCCTAACTACTTGGGAGAAGAGACCAACACCCACCTCACTACAACCTCTTTTCAGGTAGTTGTAGAGAGTGATAAGGTCTCCCCTCAGCCTCCTCTTCTCCGGGCTGAACACTCCCAGCTCCCTCAGCCGCTCCCCACCAGCCCTGTGCTCCAGACCCTGCCCCAGCTTTGTTACCCTTCTCTGGACACGCTCCAGCACCTCAATGTCCTTCTTGTACTGAGGGGCCCAAAACTGAACACAGTATTCCAGGTGCGGCCTCACCAGTGCCGAGTACAGGGGCACAATCACCTCCCTGCTCCTGCTGGCCACACACACGTATCTTCAACACACACAATTCACCCTACATCAGAGTACGGAGGGGAACGGGTGTGTGGGGCAGGACTGACCTTCAGATGACAGACACTGAAATTTAGGTGAAGCCCAGAGAATAATTCAACTGATCAAAAGAAGGGAAGGTGCGCCTACTTTTGGGTGAGCTGACTTGCTCTCCAGATTTCACTACCTGTACTGACTGGGTCTGTTTTCACCATAAACAGAGCTCAGAGGCTACCAAAGGCACGCAAAGTTAGGCATCTGAAGTCAGGTGATTTAATAAGCAAGCTGAATCCTTCCCATAGCTTGCAAATGCAAACAGCAGAAGAGTTGGAAGACAGTCAGTTATGGTGGAAACTCCTCTGCGTCTGTACACTAAAAGCTCTGTCTTCCAAGTTAATGCACTTACAAAAAATGAAGACCCTTTGGAAAGAAGGGAGCCAGGATAACTAGACAGGGTTTTATTAATCATCCTGTAAGAGCTAAGTTCCAAAACTCTATCCAGTTTCCTTTGTGGGTTTCTCCAGGTACCTCAGTCAGCCATGAATCCACCAAAGTGTGTAGTGGAGCCCTGGTTCCCTACTGACAAGGTGGTAACCTTGGAAAGGGAAATTCTCTACTATAGGTGGTGCTTCTTGGGAAATTCCTGAAAACCACTGCCTGTCACTGATGGTAAAGCCACTTATCATGGAACCATAGAACCGTTTAGGTGGGAAAAGACTTTAAGATCATCAAGTTCAACCATTAACCTAAACCATGTCCTTAAGCACCACATCTACACATCTTTTAAATACCTCCAGGGATGGGGACTCCACCACTTCCCTGGGCAGCCTGTTCCAATGCTTAACCACCCTTTTGGGGAAGAAATTTTTCCTAACCTCCAATCTAAACCTCCCCTGATGCAACTTGAGGCTGTTTCCTCTCGTCCTATCGCTGACTACTTGGGAGAAGAGACCAACACCCACCTCGCTACACTCTCAGGTAGCTGTAGAGAGCGATAAGGTCTCCCCTCAGCCTCCTCTTCTCCAGGCTAAACAACCCCAGCTCCCTCAGCCGCTCCTCGTAAGACCGGTGCTCCAGACCCTTCCCCAGCTTCATTGCCCCCCTTTAGATGTGATCCTTCTTTTGGATCATACCCTACTTTTGAACAGTTATTTGCAGAATGTGCATCGAGCCTTCACAGGCAGGAATTTCCACCCTTCTCAGGTTCTTCAGGTGTTCTGTTTGTGAACGGTGCTGTGTGGAGTTTTTCAAGTGTTTATAATTATGCTTTATATAGGCTTGCACTGTGATGAGCTAATTAACATTCCCAAACCAAAGGTCAGTAAAGGATTAGCTCACTTCCCTTTCAAAGACTTCGGCATTCTGCTCTCACGTGGCCTGCACACACAGCAAGGCACGCAGGTGAGAAATGAGGAAAGAAACAGTCAAATCCCCTTGCCGTTTCAGCTGTTTGAGAAACAGATTCACGGGTCTACTGCAGAAGCAGAACAAGCTCCAAAACCCCCTAATTCACCAGCTCTGCTTTGGTGCCTTGGACAACGGAGCTCATAAAAATATTTATGTGGCGTACACAAAAGGCAGCTGGGGAACCAGCTGAACTCCAGCAAACTCTAGCTTTTAAGCGCATCTCGCAAGCACAGACAGTAAGGAGGAAATAATGGACTCACTGACCTCAGTCAGCCTTAAAATCTCTGAGAAAAGGGCAAAGAAGGAACACACAAGCAAAGGAACTAAAGACTACCAGTCCAAGGACTCCCTGGAGTATAATTACACAGGCTGGGATATCCACGGACAACCTTTTGAAGGAGAAATGCTTCTCCCAAAGCAAGACTGATCTGTGGAAAGGCGTGGGCATAGGGGAAGAAGAGGGAGAAATCAGCCAGGAGGTGAGTCTGCAGCACTGAACGTACCTCATGTAACGCCAGCGAATGACCATATCTCATCTCTACTGAGTTCACAGTGTTGTCCAGTGGAAGCCACTCTTCAGAAATAAGATCATAGCTGTATAATAAAAATTGAATTAATTTCCCAAGTAGTAGGTATTAAAGTTGAGAAAATTACTGCTCGTCCTTTCCAGGATTTGTGGGAAATTATTTAACAGAAGTCCTAGATACCAAGATTTCATCATGTACAAAGCACGCACAGACTACTTATGGATTAAAAAAAAATCCAGTCAAGCCTGCTCTGTTACTTAACATCCACATATTGATTTGCTTTACCCTGAGTTTTCTTTCCCATGCAAAACCAAGAGCTAACGCAGTGTCTGTTAAGCTACGACAACTTACACCACATGATCCACCTGAAAGAGCAGAACAACTTTATGCTAAGCTCAGTTAAGTTCCAAATCCTTTATAAAAAAAAAAACCTGCAGTGTTTAAAAGGCATTTTTTAATTACATCTGTCATTCAAGCGTATTTTTCCTGTGAACTTGAAACAAGATAAACCCTTTGCCCTGAAAATGGCCTATAGCTTTTTAGATAAAAGAATGAACTATACTCGCCAGGCTTACAGCTTTATAAGATAAAATCACCTCTGAGAAAGTGTTCAAAGAAGCTACAGGATATCTGTTGAAAAATCAGGCATGACTTTGAAAGAGTAAATTGTGGAAGTAATCAGCAACTATTCTACAACTAAGAGTGCATTTTCAGCTCTTCTTTAACTTCCCCTACTCGAACTATTACCTCTGGACATGAGCGCAGAACACCCAGCTCTCACTTAGGTCCGTGAAAGCGAGGTATGCAGGTATTCCTGGGAAAAAAATCCAGCTTTTACCTAGATCTGCCCAAATACTATCAAGCTTAAGAGGAAGCCTGAAACGTTTTCTGTGGGAGATTTCTGTGACGTACACAATTGCCAGTAACTAAGATGTCAAATAATAAATCTCCTCAACTAATTGCACAAATGTCATCATCCTAAATGCCACTCCCTGTTGGTAGCCCATCCACTACGCATAAACATGCACAGTAATCAGTATGTATTAATTAAGGAGCCAGACACTCTGAGGTCACACAGATATAAGGAAGGGCTAATAACACTGAAGCAAAACTACCCTCTTTGACTACGAGGCCAGATATAATTTAGAAGCTAGCCTAGAAATACACAGTGAATAGTTAAATGCTGTCAGAAGCAGGTGAATCAAAAATTCCCTAAACATCAGGAACATTATGCTTTTTCTTGTCCAAAATTAGCACCCCTTAGCAGCGTTTTCCCACATCTCAAACATGAGTCTAAGTTTTTATTGCTGCTGTTTTCCCCTGGAGATGGAGCGTAGGCCAAAGCACAGCATGTTGGATGGCATTTTCTAAAAATAATTCTCAAATCTAAGTTCCTCTACTTAGACTTTATTATCTAGGTTTATACTCACGCTAAAACCTTCTGAGAGTCAGAATGATTGAAGACATAGCCTCCCACAATCCACATTTTATTGTCATGGATTACAGTTTTGTGAGATGCTCTAGGAAGTTCTGGAAGAGAGTATTCCTCCCGGGTCCAAAACGACTGGTTTGCAGGAACAGGAATTGAACAGCCAGGACCTGGGAAAATAAGGTTTAAAAATGAAGTTGTTTTTTTTTTTTTTTTCCAAAGCCTGTATTTGGTGCATATATATATACACACACACACACATATATATATTCCAAAGCCCCAACACAACCTGCGAAAGTTTCAGGAGCCCCGCTCAGCAGCATGCTATAAAAACCCAATGGTCTATGGCTATCTTTCCCTCTTCTCATTCCTCTCCTTCTCAGCAATACATTTTTGTGAATTGTTCACCTCTTATTTTTTTCTATATTTCTGCTGCTCTTAAACCAACTTCTCCACTGCCAGGCTTCCCTTCTCAGTTCCCCATGGCGTGGCAGAAGAGCAGCAGCAAGCGGCAAGGTCTCAGCAAAGTAAGAAGCCACATGGATGCTCTCCCTTCTTCTCAGTGACAGCCATCCACATGCACAGGGTTACTACAGACAACAGGGAGCACGGAACCTGCTGAAGAGGCTCAAGCCTTGAAAAGGGAATAGGTTTATCAGGACAGCCTTTAGGCAGTCATAAAAGTGAATCACTGTGTAACAGAGTTATGGTGTTGACTTTCCTGAGCACAAGAAGGACATGGACCTGCTGGAGCGGGTCCAGAAGAGGGCCACCAAAATGATCCGAGGGCTGGAACACCTCTCCTATGAGGCCAGGCTGAGAGAGTTGGGATTGTTCAGCCTAGAGAAGAGAAGGCTGCGGGGAGACCTTATTGCGGCCTTCCAGTACTTAAAGGGGGCCTACAGGAAAGATGGGGAGAATCCTTTTAATAAGGCCTGTTGTGACAGGACAAGGAATAATGGATTTAAACTAAACAAGAATAGATTTAGACTGGCTATAAGGAAGAAATGTTTTACAGTGAGGGTGGTGAGGCACTGGCAGAGGTTGCCCAGAGAGGCGGTGGGGGCCCCATCCCTGGGAACATCCCAGGCCAGGTTGGACGGGGCTCTGAGCACCCTGGGCTGGTTAAAGCTGTCCCTGGCACTGCAGGGGCTGGGCTGGGTGGGCTCTAAAGGGCCCTTCCAACCCAAAGCATTCTATGATTCTATAAGAGACAGCATCTGCTTATTCTTGCCGAGTTTCTACCAGTAATAATCTCCAGTTCAGGAAAGCAGACTGGACTCTGGTTTATCACCCTTGAAAAACTCCTGGTTTCTGAGGTAGAGGGACCATTTTCAGATTTAAAAAAGCTTCAGAATAAGAAAGGGAAGAGCAGCTTGCATCTCATTCCGCAATGGTTTGTTCTGGGGCTTTGGGGGGTTTTTTTTGGAGGGTTGTTTTGGTCTGGGTGTTTTTTTTTTCCCCTTACACTGACCTGCTACAGAAATGAAAGACAGGGAAAAAAGGGGGGTAGGCTAAAAATTGAGGAAACATAAGCCAACCTTTGCTGTCAGTGCACAGCTAGACTCCAGAAAAGCATCAGGAAGCACTGCACTGTGTAAGGGGATGTGGTCTTCCAGCCCTAAAGTCTATTACCTGTGGCTGGTTTTATATCTGAGAGGCAGACGCGCTAACCTCGCTACTGGGTGCATTCTCCTTAGGCTGCTCATTTTGCCAACCTGGATTCTTTCCACAACGCCTAACACACCGTCTGGTTTTGCAGCACAGCTGAGCGGTGGTAGCAAGCGCTGCCAGTGCTGTAGCTGGTTGCATTTCACGTAAGGCTAACTCTTCCACATCAGAGTATCTTTGCAAAAGAAACACATATGTATGGCCCAAACCGTTGCTAAGACTGACATGGCTGATGAGCATAACTGGACACAAGAACAAGGCATTTTGTGTGCTCAAACACATTAACTACTGCCAGCAGGCTCAAATTTGCTTTAGGTGCACAGGAATGAGGTTTAAAGTTTTTATCTGAAGTCTGCACACAAGAGGTTGGTACTGCTTTGTACAGTAGCATAGCTGCTTTGAAAAGCATTTGTGACAAATGAAGTATGATCTTCTGATACGGAAAGCTAGATACTCTGTTCCCAGTCTGAACGCAATACTTGTCAAGCAGAACATTCTCAAACACTCCCAATTAAAGAGCCATACCTAGAAAAAGCATCCAAGAGCTTCTCCGTATTAATCAGAAGACTCACCTTGCCAGCCCGCAGAGCACAAGCATGCCTTAGTATCATTAAAGTTGCAATGTCCTCTCTCGGGTGCCCCACAATCATCTGTGCAGTAGGGAATATCGCAAGCTTCTCCCTTCCAGTATTTGGCACATTCACACTCAAGAGCATCGCTGCTGTTATTGAGCTTGCATTCTCCTCGGCCGGAGCAATTATTGGGACACATATTGAAACTGCAAACAGCAGGGAAAGAAGGTTTGTCAGTAATGAACAGATTGCCAAGCCGTACCTCTTATTAATGAATAGAAGAGCGATGTTGAACAAAAGTTAATAGAGCTGTTTGCTAACATACAAACCAACAAGAGCCGCTCATACAGAACTTGATGGGATGGACCTGTAGAGATTTGTTCTCTATCGTCTACAGAGCTGCCTCACTTAATGAGTTAAACTTACAACTCCTCCGAAAAATTATCAATATGATTTTTAGCCATTTGTAATGCAAATGAATTGCCTTAAAACGCCTCACAGTCAGTGAAGAATTTAATCAGCGCTTAAGGCTTTTGTGGTGTCTGTGCAATTTATACTTAAGTTACTCACAATTAAGTGCTATTCTGGGATCTGCTTACCAAGGGAACACGCTTGAGATGAATCCCAAGCCAAAGCTGTGCCTGCTTTGAATCATTTCTGATTTTATAATATCTGCAATGTAGCTGAGGCAAAACCAGATACATCCTTGGTGAAGATCCAAATTCAGAGACCCTATTCATTTCCAAATTCCAGTTTTTGCCAGTGTATCAACCAGTATAACTCACAGATGGGGACTACTACCCAATATTCTCACTGTCATGCTCTAATGACATGGAGTCACCAGCTCCAAGACCATAATTTCACAAGTGTTTGTTGAGTGCATATGCCCAGTAGTAACCATAAAGACTGTGAAACTGAAAAGAAATAAATGCACCCTTTTATCTACTCTCTGCAAAAAGGTTACGAGGAAACCTAACAAGCAGAACACATAGAAGAAACAAAACACAAAACAGTACTTGAAAATTGAAACAACCAAGAAAGTGAAGAGTTAAAGAATTATGAACATATCTTAAAGGAACTTCAAAAAGGCAGGTTATTCTTTAAGAGAACGCCTCCGTCGTATTGCAATAGCACAATACCAACAGCTGGCAGTAGATGGTGTCATGGTTTATGGAATCAACCAGACTTTGAAAATGCTACTGCTTCAGCTGCTGTGTTTCAAGTAACTTTGCAAAGGCTTCTCATTTTCTTCTGGAGCTTTCAAGGGGTGTTGGATGCCCCACATTTTTCAAAGAATCCACTGGATATTTATGTGCTTAATAAGGATGAAAGCACCAAGACTAGTAGTGAAAAACTAAGCACATTATTTTAAGGAAAACTTGCAGTTTAGCAAAAAGTCAGTTATGACCAAGGATTTTACAGCTGATTTTTTTCAGAGAGGTAAGAACTTCTGCAAATTACACCCAAATTAATCTCCCAGTGCAGCACAAACATAATTTGTACCTGTAGGAGCAAAAAATTCAAAGCCCGTGATCCCCACCAGAAGCAAGAAATTCGATCTCTGCTAGTATGTCCACAGAGATCATTTACTTCCAAACAAAACCTTTCTAAAAGCAGTAGATGAATTAGGGAGTACCCTAGAATTATTTTTAAAAAGCTTACCAATGAGGACTAAATATATGTTAGCGAAGAGAAAGCACCCACCTACAATATTTAAAATATGAACCAAAGAACATAACAAAACAATTCCAGACTAAAAAGGAGCCAGATTAAGCAATTTGATCCCAGGACTGAGTAAGAAAGAGCATCCCAAAGAAAACTGCCTGAGGATTCTGAACAGCAGGTACAGTCCAGTGTCCCAAGTGAAACATGTCTGCTTATGCAAAAGCATGTTCGCGCAGAAGCATCTCTGTGGAATGCCTAAGAGCACATGCATGCACAAAATGCATCAATTCTGGTTGACTGAATATGATCAAATAAGTCTAATAACATAAAACAAATAATATGATGTCTTTTTGAGCAAACATTTGCCCACGCTTCCAATTGACAACTGAAGTTAATGCTGAGCACATTACAGTTATTAGCCGTTGCAAGGGTATAATAAAGATAAAAATCTAAATTCAAGTATCTACTCATAATTACATGTTTCAATCGCAATTGCTTATTTCAAGACAAAACAGAGAAAAGAGGAAACCTCCTTTTGCTCAACCTGCAACATCACTTTGGAGTGGTACTACTTACTTATATGTGATGTTAAACCCTGTTAAATTATAGGCAGCATCACTGAAGAAATGCAGAAGAGCATATCCAGAAGTAGCTACCACTTCTGGTACTGTTTCATTGCTTTCTTTCTCAGGAACAATAAGACCACTGGAAAAGAAAAAAAAAAAAAAAGCCAAAACCAATGTTAGACATGAAATAAAAGGGAGCAAAGCAACAATAGTAAATGCATCAGTATTAATAAAACAATTGAAACTCAAGGTACTTATTTGCATCTCTCTGAAGTATAATGAATTTGTGTAAAGTAACAATCATTCTCATAGGACAGTGTTATCAGATAGGTTTTTTTTCAACAGAACTCCTTAAATATTCAAAAGGAAATGTCTCGACATTGCGAGCATGCATACCCAACCAACCCTCAAAACAACCCCATTCTCAAAGGCATAAGAACCCTCAAGACCCTCTCAGAAAGATAAAACCACATTCTTCAGGGACCAGTTTATGAAGCCCTCTTGCTTGGCTTAATTATCTGCAATACAGTGACGACATTACTGACCAAGGAGTGCAGACAAATTCAGATATAGAGGCTATCGAGAGTAGCATTACTGCTGCCCTCAACATGCATGACTTTGGTCTACAAGAAGGAATGGCTGCAGAAAGGAATGCAAATAGAAAACCCTGAAGTAATCAACTTGGCTCTTCTGAAATATAAATGTGTATTAAAAGTGTTTAACTGAGTAAACCTGAAGCTGTCTAGAATTCCAGTTATTCTTACCAAAAACCTACTTTCCCTCCCTTATTATTCTGCCATGATTTAAACGGGATCCATTCCTAAAACAAGGTGGCACATTTGAAAACAGAAATTAGTTGTGTTCCAAAAGCATAAAACCTGCTGTACCAAGCCAAACTAAAGGTCTGCGGAGCCCAGTATTACCTCCTTACTCTGGGCTACAGCAAGCCCACGTAGTTAGCGATAGGACGAGAGGAAATGGCCTCAAGCTGCACCAGGGGAGGTTTAGGTTGGATATTAGGAAAAATTTCTTCACGGAAAGGGTAGTCAAACATTGGACCAGGCTGCCCAGAGAGGTGGTGGAGTCCTCATCCCTGGAAGTGTTCAAAAAACAGGCAGATGTGGCACTTTGGGACATGGTTTAGTCTAGTCTACCCTTGATTGGTTTAGCGTTGACTTGGTAATGTTAGGTTAATGGTTGGACTTGATGATCTTCAAGGTCTTTTCCAACCTAAACAATTCGATGATTCTAAGTGCTTGGGAAAGACTGTGACAAATAAAGCAAGTACGGAGCATTTTGGCGATGTGTTATCCAGCTTCCAGAAACCCGCAGTTCAGGTGCTTTGACCTGGAGAATGCACCCAAGTCTGCACATTTAAATAAAGCATTCATCCATGCTTCTATCCAATTCCTTTCTCAACCTTTTATACCCTTTTCACCTGGAAAATCTGCAGCAGGGAAGTCAACTAACTCTGCAATGGCAGAGAAAGGACTTCCTACGCTCGCTTTACATCTGCTGCCTGATCACCCACCGATGCCTCTTGGGTTTTTCCTCTATGAGAAATAAGTACAAATCACCCTTACTCACCACCTTCCTGCTATCCACTCTTTCATAAAGTTCCATCCAACTCATCACATTCACATTTGTTGTCTTTTCCATCCTAAAAGGCTGTCATGCTCCCTATTCCCACCTCATTCATTGCTTCACACTTCTGGTCACCTCTGGCTGTTTCTCTACACCCTTCCAGGTTCTGTTTTAGTTTTCCAGGGGTGGTGGAGAGGAGGGAGGATGGTGGGCAAGACTATTTACAGTAGTTGAGACTGGACACAGCACAGATTTATATAATGATCTGCCAAAATACCTGGAGTAAGCTGGAAGAGACTAAATGTCTCTTGAAAAGAGTAACTACTACCTATTTACCTATTGCACAAAGTAGCTCATATCTGAAAGAGAACGTTTAGTCTTCTTTTAACAGAAGCCTAACAACAACAAAACAAAGAAGTCAATTCCTCCCTCATACAAAAAGACATCAGAGGAAGCATAAATTTAAAGTCTATTGAATTTATTTTTTTAAAAGCCTTTATCTAAGCAAAGCACATTGTCTACCCCCCCCATTCATAGTCAGCTGTTACTTTCTTGTAGAGAACCGTCTTTCCCCCAGCCTCCGTCTTATTTTCAAAGGCTAAGTCGAAGCTTTTTGACAAGCAGAGACTCCAAAGCCCAGAGCAGAGCGTGTCGGGCAGGGATCCGAAAGCAGCCGAGCCTGGTTTCGTGCCCTGAGACTTCTGAATATCCGAGGGCACCACTGACTAAAAAGCAACTACAAAAAGAATCTTTCCCCCTGAAAAGAACTTTACTTTTCCTCTTTTCAGATCAGAAAGCAAATGCATTTGAAGACAGCTCCCTAGGACAGGGTAAAATGAGTTTCTACACCCGAGGGAAACACTCACAGCTATCCACAGCAACCCATTCACGTCGCCTGTAACGCGCTTTTTGGTGACCTGAATTTTTCTGTCCCCGCGATACAATACCATGGCATGCTCGAAGAAGAACGCAGACACCCAGTGATCCCTTCCAAAAGCTTTTGCTATAGATGTTGGGGGTGCTTGCACCAAGAGTAACAGATGAACGTGTTACCTACGGCGGGGTAAATCTGCAAACTGTACAACAGCCCTTCCCGCACAAGAAGTCTTACTGTGGACAAAAAGATATCCTTCATTTTAGCAACACACCATAAAAACACAGTAACCTGATCCCATGTTTTGGCTAAACAACTCCAGCACATTTGCAGATATATGTAGCTCAATAAATATTTCCTTGTGAGAAAGCCAATTATCTTTTCTTCTTTCAGATCTCAAGGATACAGTATTAAAAGGCAAAATTCACTGCCTTTTTCTCTGTAAGAAGTGCCTGTTTCATTCTAGAATTGGAGACTTCTGATCTGAAGATGATCTCTCCCAAAAGACCGTCTCCCGAAACATCGAAGAACAAAAAGTCTAATAAACTTCTCCTTGCTATTTGCTTCATAGTTTTCCTTCGTAAGGCAAACTGTAGGACGGTATGTCTCCACCACAGGAAAACAGACATCTGAATATAATTCAGGGTAGGGCAAACTACAGCTCAGGGACAAGAGAAAATTCCTTTGTTCTGATTTATTCTTCTTGGGTCTTATTCTTGCAACACTTATCACTGATATTACAGGGCAATCTAACTGGAAAGCCCTGGAGCAGGGAGAACAACGGCAGCAAAGAATAAAAAGTACAGAGTGAACAGCGATTGTGAGAGAAGATAAAATCCGCCCCCGATAACCTTTCCTAATAAAAGGACTAGCACAGGACAATTATTTGTTTTCTCCTAGAAATCTCAATTTGGGGATTTATTTGGGAAGACCACAGGTACCTCCGTAGCCGATGCTCTCACCACATCTCCCGCTTGCTCCTTTCCTTCCATCTTTTTCTGATGATTCATATGTAAAGATACTAAAGAGGACGTTGTTCCACCTACACAAGTCTAAAACAGCCTCATGAAACTTAACACAGATTGCAATTTCGTTCAGAGAAAGCCCTGAAGAGAACACAAAACAACAGTAAGGCCCTTGAAAGGTCAAACCTCGAGAACCGAAAACCGTGAATAAATTAGTGTGTGCACAGTATCATTTTGAATAAACCAGCACAAACAGAATTTACATTATTTGCCATGGGAAAAAACCCCAACAGGCAGAATCAGAATGATAAAGGATTATGCAAAACTTCCTTTAAACTACAATCCAGAATCTCCCAGAGACTCGACTCTGGCCAAGATTAACCTATTTCACAACGTACCACTTCTGTTTCTTTTTACCAGGTTTCAAAACATTTTGCAATCATCACTACTCCAAAGCAAATAAATACTCCTACTCAGCTAAGCTGTCCAATGACACTATTTCTTAGGCGTTGAAAGGTAAACCTCTGGTTTGCCCTGCAACAACTTCTATTTTCCACGCGCTGGATTTGTAGAGTCAGTGGCAGAGTGAGAAACAGCATCCAGGAGACCCGACTTCTCTATCGCCCTGCACACACCGCCTGCCTTGCTCCCTCCGCTACGCCAGAGAAAAAAGGGAATTATTTAAAAAGGAGGGCATCTGCTCTATTACTTTTCCTTGATTTGCTATGCAAGCGTCACGGTGATGGCGTATTCATCACTTTCTCCTGAGACACAACCTGCCAGCGTGGCAGAGATCAAAAGCGTAAGATGCTACTGAGCAGAAAATAGTCAAAAAAGGAAGAAGATGGGAGCCATGAAAGGGAAGGGAGAAAATACAGAGTACAGATCAGAGAAGTGAAATGATAAAGGTGATACCAAAACACTGGTAGTATATTGGATTCTCAATCTATCGAAATGTAATGAGAAACCATTCTCTTCTCCTAATTTTTAAATACTTTGACCCATCCGGACACACACGTATATAAAATGACACCATTTCTCCCTTATTAAAAACCAGTCTGTGCACATCACCGTACTCACAAGAGTAAGACTAAAAAAAACCAAACCAACCAACCAAAAATAGAAATGACAAGAGACTAAAAATAAATCAATGCCAAAAAAACACAAGAGGAGGGGTGAAAATGAGGAGACATCTCAAATTGATTTTCTTAAAGGAAAAGCTAAGATTCTTGTGTAGCAAGATGACTCCCAAACACGGACTTTTAAGGAAACAAAGCCTTTTCAATGACACTTATAAAAATAAATTAAAAAAAAAATTATTTTTTGAGAGCTGGCAACACCCCAGTGTACAATTTTTCTTGAAACCATCTTCCCTCGTTGCACCACCAGCACAGGGTAAGCCTGCTGGCCCGCAGAGCCCTCTGGACCACGGGGGCTTGCCCCAAAAACCTCTTCAGTTCTTACACGATGCTTTTCCTTCCAGAGCCAGTAGAACAAGGAGAAACCATAAACGTATTAAAATGTGTCTCATGAGCCATTCAGTAATTTTTAATGATTAAGTCACATGGCGAGCGTGACTGTAAAAGCCGTATTTCAAGAGAACAGGGACTGAAAAGCCTCAAAAGAAATAACACCTTTTTTGCCTTTACAGTGAAGAACAACTTTAAAAATTAAATTGTTTTAGTATCTAGTTCAGGAGAGACAGCCCATGCTATCAGCCATGGTGCAAATGCCTTTTCATTTTTTAAAAAACTAAAGTGTGTTGCCTGTTTAATACCTGTGAAGCTCAGTATATTTGAATAAGGGGCGGGGGGGAATCAAAATCTTATCCTTCAGTCCATCAGAAACAGTTTAAGACAAAAGAACCGAGAAAGTGAAGAGCTGAAGAAACTTTCTGCTCTAAACTTCTTTTACAGGCGTTGATTTAACTCAGAGGATTTATCCTTTCAAAGTTCTTTTCTCTAAAACAGAAACTCTCTTTGTCCATCTTGTCAAATTGATTTGATGTTTTTAGAGGGGATTACAGGTTTAGTGAACAAAAGCAATTTTGATACAATGCATTTACATTTCTCTATGAAATCTGACTTTCTACCACAAAGACATTGTGATTAATCACTTCACGCATCCAAAGGATCAGTCGGCTCACTGACAGGCTCACGAGTAAATGTAAACAAGGCAACATCATCCAGCAGGTACGTTTCTAGCAAAATCCCAAATACACTTGCTCCTCACCTTATACTGATTTATTTTTAATCAATACTCTAAAAGTTATCGTGGATCCAAAGAAAACAAATAGAGCAAAATAATAAATACTTGGACAACTGGCTGCTAGAACAAAAAGTCAACTGGACGGCTCCGTGAACTGAGTACGTGCATGACGACCATACTGCAACACAGTCCAGTGCATATATCCCCTATATATATAATATATCCCCTATCTGGATGCAGAATAAAAACTGATTTGGGAGGTGCTGGCTGATAATGTGCTGAGTGCCAGCTCCATCAGAGAAGGGTGAGAACATCAAGAGGCAAAAAAACCTGGTTGCGCTCGCGAGCGAAGGTCACCCAACGCATGCTTTGAAGCAAACAGAGCAATCAAACTTACGCGTTAAACAGTCCCTTCGCCTTCTCTCATAGAACCATAGCATGGGTTGGGTGGGAAGGGACCTTTAAAGGTCATCTAGTCCAACCCCCCTGCAATGAGCAGGGACATCTTCAACTCGATCACATTGCCCAAAGCCCCATCCAACATGACCTTGAACGTTTCCAGGGATGGGGCACCTACCACCTCTCCGGGCAACCTTTACGCAGAGCACGTACACCCACAGTTCGTCCTCTGCCTGTATGCGCCGGAGGCAAGGACCGCTTCTTCCTACAAGTCTGTATCACATCAGCTCTAAGCTGATTAGCTCCTCTGGACACTCTTGTAACACAAATAGTACTGACTCAAGATGGTTTGTGCCTTTCCCAGTGTAATTAATCCTTGTTAGCAAACCCCCTGCTGTTATCAGCTGATCGTTTGCTCTAAGCAATGTAAGACAAGTCGATGGTGAGGGGTAGCAAGGTTTGCAGGTTAGTTCAGGAAGGGCACTGAGGATAAAGCAGAAGAAAGAGCGAGCCTTTGCGTGTGCCCATGGCAGCAATGTGCATTACGATTTCTGGCAAATAATTGAGGGACTAGAAGGAAAAAAATAGAACGGGGACAACCATACGATGTACGAGGAGAGGCGGAAGGAGCGAGGTTTGTTTAGCCTGGAGGAGAGATGACTGAAGATGGGGAGAAATCTAATTGCTGCCTTTGACAACCTAAGGAGAGATTACAGAGGAGACAGCACCAGGCACATGCACAGAAAAAGGACATGAAGCAACAGACACAAGCTGCAGCAAAGGTAGTTTGATTAGATATTAGTGTAAGATTTTTCTTTTTTTTAAAAAACCATGAGGGCGGTCAAGTGCTGGACCACTGGCCCAGAGGATCAGCGAGAACTCCATCCTTAAGAGAAATTCACAACTTGACTGGGCAAGGTCTTGAGCAAGGGCCTGATCCCACTCGGAAGCTGGCCTTGCTTTGAGTGACGGATCAGACCGGGATCCGTTCCAACCAAACTCGCCCCACATTCTGTGCCTAGGCTCAAGTTTGGGTGTACAAGTGCCACATTCACCTGCAAGTACCGAAAGGAAGGGGAGCTGCTCCTGTTTTCTGAGGGTGGGAGAGCTCACGTGGAGGCACCGCCGAGCAGCCAGCTCAGCAAGTGACCGTGGGGCAGCCGCTGCCACCGCGACCGTCCATCGGGCACCTGATGGCAACCGCAAGGCGCTTCTGAGTGGTCTCACCCCCAGCACCAAGCGCAGAGCCATGGCCAAAGGTCTTGCAAAGGAATGATTGTTTTTGAAGAGGAAAACACCGCCCGCCGACCAGCGCAAAATGAAAATAAAGGTGCAAAAGCAGTTCCAGTAAATGTTTAACATGGAGTAAAGTTAAAAACACAACCAACAAAGTTCACGGATGAGGAGTGTAGTTTATCTGCTTCAGATTTCTCCGTTCTGTGCAGATGAACACACCGGATTTCTGTTTACTCCACATCCTTTTATTGCATTTTTGAAGCAGCACATTTATACAGTCTCATGTTGCCTATGATCACAAATATAAACCAGCAAAGATATTTTTAACCCTGCTTAACTGAAAAAAAACTTAATGTACAGGACCCAATGGCCCTGGGGACACTCAGACTACCAGAAGTTTAGTAAACAGTTTATGCAGACACTTGCCCTGTGTAAAAAAAAAAAAGTTTGCAAGCATTATGCAAACATTTATCATAGTTAAAAACTGATTAATCAATTTAAAGTTTCTCTGTAGTGCAGTGTTGAGGATTTCCAAGATGTTCAGGGTAAATACCGTATTGCGAACAAACACAAGCAAGCATCAGAAGGTCAAGAAAACAAGATCAGAGCAGTGAAGGAAGTGCAGGCTCAGGTAACTGCCGTAAAAAGCCAGGAAGGTAACAAAAACTGAGCTTTAAAGAGGAAGGAATTTACAGTGTTTATCAACAAACTCCGAAAGTTTACAGCATCCAACTGTCCAAAGCTCAATCTTGCAAATCTCTTTAGCAGGGTGCAAAAATAGTTAAGAGTGAAATATAGCTATGGTTAATATTAAAATTTAACATAAGCCAAGAAAAGAGATAAAATCTGAACACTGCTTTTGAAAAATTCTAGTGCATTTATTTTTGTATCAGAGAAAGGTATTTTTCAACACATGCTTTTTTGCACTTCATCAAAATGAGAAGCATCTGCTATTTCCTGAACTTGGTTTACCAAACAACACAGCTCACTACTAATGAAGATGAAATTCAAATGTCATCTAAAGAAGCAATTAAGAAAAATAATTGAATTTTTTTCCTACCTCAAAAATGTTATTGTATTAGGCTCACGCTTGCTTGCCCTCAGGCACAGGCTTCCTAGTGATTTACAGATCATTTTAAAGTCTGAACCGTAATTGTTAATGCTGTGAACTACTTATAGCCTCAATTTAAAAAGCTATTAATTTTTGGAAAACACACAAGAAACTGCAGGCACAAATCATGATCATTTCACCTTTTCAACAGCGTATTAAGAATTGGTTCGATTAGAGCAAAATGACTATGAGTCAAGATGACATTTCTTCCTCTTCCTGCATATCAATTCAGTGCGTGATACCAGGAGAGTGCTTCCAGGTTGCACTTCCAGGTTTTTGGAGGTTCTCAGAAGAGAGAAGGTTTCTTCTTCTTCAGATGCAGTGAGAATAACATAATAATTCATTTGTGTGTCCTGTTTTGACCTCAGGTTAGTCTGAAGGTTTACAGAAAGCATTCTTTCACTACAAAACAACTCTGCGCTTTCAGTTGAATTCCAAAAAAAACCCCATGTGTTTTTCATTTTTTATAATCAACTTTTTGTTCCTGTGCTGATCTTCTCTCATAGAGATTACAAGGATTTTTAGAACAAACATGAAGTATTTTTAGAACTTCATTTCACAAACGAAAGGAACCACAGCAGAAGGTTAATTCTGGAAATAGTTAATCAGCCACTTGGAACAAGCAGAGTCCAAAGGGAACCATTAGTTTTTCCATACGCAACTTGGGATTATTTTTCTAATTTCAGCTAAAAGAATAGAAAACATAAGGTGGTGCTTGTCACTGCAAGACTAAAGTACATAAATGCACAAGTTATATTTAGGTCTCTTCGTGAAATGTCGACTGTTAACCAGCATCCACAAATTGGTCTCTCACCACAGACAGATGAGCCAAATACCAGTCATCCATCAGAAGAACAGATATTTTTACACGTGTTTTTACAAGGTTGTCTGACCCATCAGTGTTGTTTCTGAACATGTTCCAAAGAGTTTAAAAATTTAAGTTTAAGGTACATAAGGATATACATAGCTCTACGAGACCTGTATGTCTGCAATAATTGGCAATTGATTAATTGACTTTTCCCTTCTGCCAGCATTGACTTACTATGAGTTAAACTTAAGTCATGTTCAAACCTGATAAACGGGGCAGTTTTCTACTTTAATACCAAATCATCTCAAGCTCAACCAGATGACAATAATTTTTTTGTCTCTCAAATAATCAGGATTTGGAAATGAAAACATAATACTTACATGCTACAGTGTAATAACATGATTTGTTCATTGTAAAAGCAAAAACAACCCCTTAATTGTTTATGCTGACGATGACTGCACAAAAGGGCACTCGCTATATGTGCCGTATTTGCAGTATTATATATTTAGATTACTGGAACATATTTATACCGCTAGAAGCCACAGTTGATTCAGGCTCCAAGTTAAAGAAATACCACTGCGTACAGTTAGATTCTTACCAAGGGGAACTTACCTAAAAGCTGCCAGTAAGGGAGCGTAAATTGAATCTCCATCATAGACATACAAGTGGTCCCAACTGCACTCTGTGGCAAAGTGACTGAATCGAAGCCGGAGGATTGTGTTTGGCCTGTAAAAATAAATAAACAGAAGACTTGTAATTAGCCACTCGACACACAAGGCAAAGTCCCTCCAACAAACTCCTCCAGTGTGAAGCTCCTCTCCTAAACAAGACTAAAACTGAGTGACCTAGTGTAACTGTAGATGCATCAAACATGCTGTGGCTTTCGTTTTTGGTGTGAATGCTCCCCTGGTGTTAAGCAACAGATTCTTTATGGTCAGAAAAACTGTGTCCTTAAACTTTTCCCCACCACCAACAGCAGAAATTGAAGAGCAGGCACTGCCAACCCTCTGCTCTTTACCAGTACTGACTCCCCTAATGACAGGGCTTTGCAGGGGTAAGCATGGAAAATCTACATGGACAATACACTCACATCTAGATGTGGCACTTAGGGACATGGTTTAGTGGTGGACTTGGCAGTATTAGGTTTACGGTTGAACTCAATGATCTTAAAGGTCTTTTCCAACCTAAATGATTCCATGATTCTATGAAGAATCACAGCCACCATCAGGGAGCTAACCAGAGCTATTTTTCTTGTTCAAGGGATTTTCTGCAGATTGATTTGATTACCATGGCCCAGAAGCTGGCAGAAAATCTTCTTTCATCATTTTATTATTTGTGCCCTTCTGAGGGAAGCCTCTCCAAACTGGAAACTGGAAATATGCCTCAATGGATGATCATTAAAAAACTTCTCAGTCTTGCTCACCACCTTCTGGGAGCTGGAGAAAACAGGTTAAGAGAATGCAGAGGAGACCCGTCTTCTACAGAACGGCAGGCCCTGGGGCTTTACCTTTTACCAAAAGGAAGGTCTTTGGTTATTACTTGGACTGTCAAGATGCAGTAACCACTCACTGCCCCTCATTCCTTACAAATGCTAACCAGGTTGCTTGACCTTCTTCTGGAGACGTGTTACAAAAAATACTGGGACCAGCTGAGAATGAACAAGCTGGAAATCCTGGGAAGAAACTTGCTACCTTTCACCTGAATGCAGCTGGCCCAGCACACCCCGAGGTTAACACCACCGGTCAAGAAGAGTCTACAATGCTGACCTACTAAATCAAGACAAGACCAATCAAGGAGCCTGATCTTCTGAGGTGTATCAGCAGGGGTGTAGCAGCAGGAAAAAGGTTTTATTTAGTTGATGTGTGGATGGAAACAGCAGTTCAGACACCAAAACGCATGAGCGTTTCTTTCACTCCCTACACAAAAGATGCCCACTAAGCCATAACCAAGTAAGATACATTTAGTTTCATGGCTAATATGCAAAGACACATCGAAGAGAATCACACAGAAGCCACAGCAGATATCTCATTTAGGGCTCAGCTCGAGGAGGGTGAAAACACCACTAGCATTGTGCTTGGACCCTGACATAAAAAGAGTGAATCTATAGCAGCACAGCTTTTTCCTACCCACAGCTGTAGCTTTTGAAAGGACAGATGCAAGTGATTAGGATCTCTTCAACAGCACTGCCCTTGGGTTCAGCTGAAATCCTTGTTCATCCTAATCAAATAAATTAATAAAATGTCAGCTTGCCATAGAGCCCTTCCTTCCCACAGAAGGGGAATTCTTTAGGGAGTTATTCTGCAAAAAAATATTTTTTGATAGGCACAATGATCTACTCCAGGCCTTTGGAAAAAGACCAGCAGGTGTAACTCAAGGATAATGTCTTGCTTAACGAAAAGGTACAAAGAGTGCTCATCGTTTCAAAACTGAGCAGCCTATGAAATTGTAGGGGGTTTGCTTCTATTTTAACGGTCTGACAGCTGTAGAGCAGAAAGAAATACTTAATCAATAAAAGCTTTAGACCAAGAACAAAAAGAAAGAGATTATCTTTGCTACAGCTAACGACTCATTACCAGACAGCATTCATTTGCAGAACCGCAAGCCACATGGCTACAGGTTCTGCCTCAGATGGGATCCTCAGGCTGGCTGGATCTCATCTGCCTTGCCTTGTGCTCCTGGGGAAAAATGAAGAGGAGACCCCCAGGATGAGGATGCAGCACAGACACCAGCCAAGAAGAGTCAGGAAGAGTGAAAAAAAGGAAATGAGTACAGTAAGATACAGATGGCTTATTTTTACATCTGAATTTATCTAGCGTCTTCAATTGCACATTTGGATTGTACCTTTACTTGCTAACCTCAAAAGCCCTCCGCATACCGGCATGCTAGCAACGAGGTGAGGGCATTCAGCAGAATGTGCCTTGCAGATGCTCTTTTCCAAGTCCAGATCTCTCTGGGAATTTCACATTTGGCAGAGAGCTTGGGCTATTTTCACAAGGGTGCATATTTCAGCTGTTTTAATCAGCGTGATTATCTCCCTTCTGTTTACCACCATCCTCTGACAGCAGGGTACAAACAATCAGAAGCGGGAAAAGGAAATACGGAAGCAGGAGGAACATTTTTGTACACCTCTTTACAGCAAGTAAGATCTCACTTCAAACCCCATGAAGTGATAGTCCTCTAGGAAGCCCCTCAACACAAGCAAAAGAAGGCTGAAGGAACAGTTATGGTGACATTATCAGGGACCCATGAGCAGCACTTCTGATACAAACGCGAGTCACGCTGTCCTTTAGAAAAAGAAGTTATGAGGGTTAAGCTGGCTGTACTGGAATTGCTGAGGCTGGTTTGTCTGTAATAACATTCTTGCAAAACATTTTTAAATTATTTGTAATTCCAAACTGTCTGCAGTTGTATTTTTATTACCTACAAAAATTAAGAGGTGTTGCCACTTACAGCATCTAACTTTTGATCTTAACCACATCAAAGTACTGGGCTCCTTATATAATTAATAATGAGTGGTAGGTTCCCAATTTCAGTGTTCTGGATGGCTCTCTGGAACAGCGTAGCCCTTACCTTTGAAATACCTAAGCTCCCAGGATATTAAGTTACTCACCCAAAGTAAGTGTCTGAAGTAGTTGAAGTGAACACCAATTGCTCCCCACCCATCAGACCTCCCAAACAGAGAGAGAAGACTAAAGAAAAGAAGCGTACCCTGGGCTTTTAGTAAGTTCTGATCCTCCAAGGTGCCAAAAGACTTGAGCTTACGGGCATTCAATGCAAGTTACATCATCCACGCTCTCACGTGACTTGTTCCTACTCACAAACCTCTCTACTTACAAATTCAGGGAACAGTGTGGAACATGACTTAACGCATAGCTGTTACCACACAGCATCATAACTGACCATGCAAAGTCTTACAGACTATACAAATTGATTTTATAGTCCTGCTGTCAGCCTGGTACTATGAAAAACATATTTCAACAAGTCAGATGCTCTGAACTGCTTGTACCATCAATCAGATGACAGTCAGAGGATATGAACTGAATAGGCTACTCCTAAAATCTCTGCAAGAAATCACTACAAGCAACATAACGATCAAATACAGGAAGAGTAGAGAAATGAGGGGAAGAGCTCTAAGGGACTACTTGTACTTCAGAAGACCTTTGCAAAAGAGGTCAACGGTTCCTCTGAAGTCCTCATGGTCTAGTGAGTAAATAAGCATCTGAAGTGCACCATTGCAGAAACCGAGTCTTCATGAAGAAGAGCTTTAGCAGAGTTTGCTCTATTTTTTTTCATACTGACAAAAAGTCCCATACATAGTGAATCCCAAGCACCTGAATGGCCCGCTAAGGTAAAAGTTAAATAATTTTTAGTTCTTTATTTATTTACACAGATGCATTTATTCTCATTTTTAACACGTGGTTTCAGTGCAAAGGGTATTTTACACAGCAAACCTCAAATTCAGAAGTCAGTTTGGAGGGCCCAGTTGCATAAAAAAACCCTCATTACCAAGAACACCTAAATGTTGCCTTACCTAGTTTTAAGAATAGCAAAAAAGGAATCATTACTACACTCACCTTCCTTCAATGAGCCAGGTGCATTTTGTTTTGTATTTGTAATTTCCAGGCCCATCCGTGACATACCCTGAAGGTCCAGTGAGTCTGTAAATAAAAAACAAAGACAAGCATTAGTCTCCAATGGTATTAAACATTCATAAAGAATTTCCTAAATTTAGAAGATCCATCATTGGACTTTTATTTACTTGAGAGCCACTACAAACAAACCAACAACAACACAACACAAAACAAGCAGTCAATTGGGATTCTCCTGTTAAACTCTCTGTACATGCTTTCTGTCGATTGTCCCTAAAGAACAACAGAGCTTGCTCTACCAGATTGATGGTATTGCTGCAAATCAGCACCCTGGGGGAAAAAAAAAAAACCACAAAAAAAAGACCTTCCTCCACAAACAAAGACTAATACACAGACTAATACCACACAGCCACAGCCAGCAAAAGGAATTCCCTAACACAAAAGCTAAAATTACTCCTAAACTATTTATTTATACAAACTACACAATTCTTGCAAGAAGTTCAGATGAAGTCCATGGTGCAACCTCTTACCCATTCTGTATGTGACCCTTCACAAAGTCCTTGAAGACCTCCTGAACAGAAGACAGATCCCCATAACGCTCTAGTGTAAAACAAGACCTTAATTCCTCATGCATCAAGGGCTGCATAGCTCAGGACAACTCCAGAGCATGGCAGTCCCAGGCATCCCCCACCTTTGGTAGCACGTTCCCATCCCCATGTCATCCCATAGTAAGTAATCAAAGTCAAAGAGCTGAGTGGTCCCCACTGCTGGGATGGTGCCAGGACCACCCTACGAACACCCCTACCCCTCTGTGCCTATAAATAGGTGGTGACAACTTGACAGTAGCAAAAGACTCAGGAGAAGGATGTAAAAGCAGAAAGTACCGTTGGAATCATTCATCCCGGGACACTCAATGAACGCCAGCACTTAAAACCATTAAAAATTCAAGATGCCACTGAAAGAGAGAAGGGAACAAAGCCAAAGGACTCATTTCTGTCAACATCTGCAAACCATTGTACAGCGCAAATTCTAGACAACTGCATTTGTCTAGACACTGCTTGCAGGGATGTCCAAACAAGCAGCAGCAACCCCAGTCTCAGAAGGGTGTTTTGATGAAAAGTTCACAACAGGTTTCAGAGCTATGCTAAACTCTTTGTTGTGGTACGAAGGAAATTGATATTCGTGCTCATTACTTGTAATGCTCATTACTTGTAATGAGCATCAATACAAGTACTGCAAAGAGTGAGCAAAGCCATGCAAAACCTGCTTTCACATTTCCATTAGTCCTACTCAAAATGTGACAACCAAACACATCCACGCTGTAAGACAAAATGAAGGTAGCAATCTACTGGCTGCAGCTGTAACTTCTCCTTTCCATAGATTTTAACAGGGTATGTCTTTCTTCAAAGACCATGGACAGCATAGAAGACAATCACGCTTCATCAAGGCTGAGGGAGATGGATCTAGCAAGAGTTTGGGGCAGCAGATCTGAAACACCACTGAGGCTCCCAAAAACCAGGCACTGAGATTCTGCACCTTCTGCCTTAGCACGGGGAGCGGTAGGAGCACGCATGGGCAGAAGACAAAACCAAGAGCCAGACTGTTCAGATACACGCTCCCATCTCATATGCATTAATCAAAATATTACAGATTGGTTTTAACAAACAGCTGAAAATAAATTACCAGGGAAGGATGACATCAAATGGAAGCAGTATCTGAAGATGCCCAAACACCACGTTCTGGCAGAGCACTTACTGGCACCTGGAACAGGATTCCTACCCAGGGAGGTTATAAACTCCATCGTCAGCACATGGCTGGAGCAAATCACAGTCTTCTGGCAAAATTAAATCACCCTACTTAAAACACAGTTTCAGTGAAACAAAAACACTCTGCAAAATCAAATTTGGCAGAAAAGAGAAGGAAGCAAAATCAGAAGTTCCCAAAAACAGTATCTTGGAACTTTTTGCTGTGTCTTTTCCTAGTGATCTGTTAATGTTATCATCTAATCTTATTTTAAAATATTTTGACTGACTCAAAGTGGTTTTCCAGAATCTCTTCCATAGAGCACTTTTAAGGGTCACCTCTGATCCAAATTAAAAAGGCAAAAAGCAAAGACTTTGAAAACCACCTTCCTCTTCCTCCATATTAATTTATTATGCTACTTTTCAACCTCAGAAATTTAGCTTAAGATTTTTAAAAGCCAGTTACTAAAGTGCTGCAGGAGATCTACATTTACACACGTGAAGAAACAGCTCCCAATTTTCAGGAGCACAAGAAGCACCTGTACCTTCTATGCAGACACAGGTAGATGTAGATAAATAAACACACACACACACACATATATATATATTTTAAGGCTTCAACATCTTTGAAAATTCAAATTACTTATCTACTGACCAGGAATTTGCAAAAATAGATGCAAATTCCAAGTTGCAGGCAATAACATCTAGACTTTTTTGTCTCAAAATGCCTCCTTTTGAAAATAAGATCTGTGGAAAAGCTAGGACTCAGACTATATCGACGCTTCAACACTGACAGCACTTTGCATGCAACCAAGAGTAAACAGACTTTGGAAACCTGAGCAAGTCTCGCAAGCTAAAAACAACCTTATGCAATCTGCCAAGCTCTCAAAAAGCCTCTGCTCAGAAAACTCTTTGAACAATTTTCTCTGGAAATAATTACTAAATTATTCACCACAGAAACACTATCAAGAGTGATGGGGGAAAAAAAAAAACAAACGCCTGTTAGTACTGTAGCCCCAGCCATGTCACATGTCGGGGCGG